CTGTTGTTTTTAATCTCCCGCTTGGGGTCATTTGTACGGCAGTTCTCTAAAACCAACACATGCCTCAACAAACTCTAGGTGACCGAAGTAGGAGAAGTTTCAGGCAGCAGAGATGAAAGCGTGGGAAGACCGGGCAAAGGTGGTCCGGGCAAAAGTGGTCCATAAGAACATGGCGGTCACCAAGGGTGAGCCAGTGAAACCAGCGGCAGATGGCCGCCTATCCTCATGGGGGCTGAAAAGGCTGTGTCAGGTCGCCTCCCCAACCATGAGTGGCCTGACTTTTAAGGAGAGGATGAATCCCTCTGCAACAGGGGGCATGAAAAATAGCTCTTAGGTTGAATGTCTTCATTTATGCTTTTTAAAAACAACTGGTTTTCCATTAGCTGTGAACCAGCCCAAGGGCCGGACGCCTTGTGCACCCTGCCAAGGTGGCTCCTCCATTTGTCCCTGGATCCCTTCATTCCAGGATATCTCACCAGCGTGTCTGCCCTCTCGCCTCGAAGCGTCTTCATCTTGTTCTCTGTTGGCTCGTGCTCACCCATCAACAACCATGCCGTAATTTCTCCCATCTTTAAGAAAAGTTTCTCTCTTGTTCTTACTCCCCTGTCCGGCGGTTGCCTATTTATTTTCTTTCTATTAATACAACACTCCTGAAAGAGCTGTCTGCACTTGCCTCTCTTGTTCCTCTGCTCCTCTTCCCTCTGGAGCCCACTCCTTCACAGATGCCCACTAATTACCTGTGGAATGGAGGAGTTGAGTTTCCTTCCAACTCAAGCACTGAGCAAGAGGCATCCATATATTTTGCTGCCTGCTGTGGGCTTTTCAGGATCTTCCTTTGCAGAACTACACGTATCCTGGCCTGAAGAAAAATGCAAAATCCCTTCCAAAAAAAAAAAACACCAAAAACCAAAACTCCTTCCTCACTTTTTCTTCCAGGGCATTAAAAGCTGAGCAAATAGTTTTCTGTCTTGACTAATAAAGAACTGCCGTGAGAAGAAGAATCCACGTTGATGAGCTTGAGTTAGATGGGCAGTGATTCCTGTATAACCTGGACCTTCTTGAGTGCTTGAGAAGGCAGGATTCCTCATTGAGTCCGTTTGAGAATCTTTCCGTAAAGGCTTCCTAACTCCAGCTCAAGTCCCAGATCCCTTGGTTTTCCTGTCCCACCAGTGAGAGCAGTCAGCCCCGTCTGATCACCTTCTGCAAGTGACTGGCTCTATCTTGTGCCTTCTTGGGGAGAAGGTGGCATTGTTACTGCAAGATCAGTGAGCTTTGAACTGCAGGCCACAGAGAGAATGCATCCTTGCTGGGGCTGGGCAAAGTCAGGCCTGCCTGTCTTAGAAAGGCCTTTGCAAAAAGTTGATCTCAGATCAGTCGAAGCAAGTTGGGAACCCTAGCAAGACGAGGATGGGACTTGACTCTAAGAAATATAAGGGGCCTGGAGAGAATGGGGGTGCTTGCAAGAGTCTCCATTCTGTCAGGAGTGGTTACAGGCAGCACCAAGACTAAGCTGGGCCTCTCTTGTCCTTAGAGTCACCCTGGCCCTTTTTATGACTCAAGTCTGACCTGGGGATGCCAGACCCTCACCCAGAAAGCGTTCTCACGCTCGGTACTCTTTGAACAAAGTATTGACTAAACAAGACCTCATGCCAGTCCTGGACTATCAGGACCCCTGTAAGGCCTAGAGACCTCCACCAGAGCTCTGGATTCTTCCACACCATTGATTTTTAACCCATTTCCATATCAGAGACCTGTGTGGGCCTTTGGACATTCAGAGGGTCATTGAGTATGACTCCTTCCCGGTAATTTCCAGGGCAAACAGATTAATCTGGGAAGAATGTCTGAAATCCAAGCATCCCATAAAACATCTTCACTGGTGAGTTCCTTACAGCTAATAGTCACCAAATGAAACCAAAGTCGCCCACCAATATCCTGGTGAGTCATCCCCAGCCTGAATTATCAGTGAAGGATGAACGTCCCAGCTGGCATCTCACCTTTCATCTGCGCTACTGCCTTGTCCTGTGACATCAATGTTGTCATCCTATCAGAATGGTCAAACATCACCTCGTGGATCTCTGTACGATATCAGTACCTGCTGTGTTCTTTGCAGCTGCTTCTGTCTTGGAACTAAGGAAGGGATTTATCGTCAAATAAAGTTTTCTATCCACGGAACTTGAAGAAATGGAACTCCCTCAGAGGAAGGTTCAGAAAGATGGGGAAGAGATGGCCGTCTTTAGAGAGCCTGGCTAATGTCGTCTGCTAGAAGGCAGGGGTGGGAACAATGGGCTTTGTGCTGCAAGTAAACCAACAATTTCAAGAATGCTGTAAATTGGATTAAGGATTGTGAATCAGAAAACATAGTTGTCTGCTGATGGGAACTTTTTCATTTAGGGCTGGAGTGAACCGTGTAAGCCTGGAGCATGGAGCCCAGCCGTGGGGCGTTCGTCACAAAGGTTAAAGTGATTCTTTCCCTGAGATAATCAACATCTCAATTATATGGGATCTGTTTTCTCTCTGACACTGAAACATTTTCCAGGGTATTCACGATGAAAGTATGAATTACCCACATTCTTTTCAGAGCCCTATCCAATTAAAAGTAGATGAAAATCTCCTTGATGCAGAAGCCTTTAAAACATGCTGAGAGGAATGAGAGATGTATATTTATAGAAAATCTGATCGAACACACAACCATGTAACCCCAGGGTGAGTCGGATAAGATATTTACTGGAGACTTGTATTTCTTTTTAAAACAATTACTTCTGATATGGATCTAAAGTATCTCATCTGTCATTTAGGATAAAGGTAGATTAAGCTTTTACTCAAGAATGAATTAGAAGCCCTAACATCCCAGGCAGTCTAGAGAGTATGTATTCGCTTGAAAACTAAAGAAAAATCCACTGAAAGAGACCTACAAGACAAGGTAATGTTTTCTTTGAAATGGAAATACGTTAAGGGAGGAATGGGTCACTGGAGCTTTAAAAAAAACATTAAAAGTGAGAGAAGTTCTCCCTTCCTAGAAATGTGAGCTTGGACTCTGGCAGAGGACATCACAAAGATTTAGAGCAGCTGATTGAGATATTCCAAGAGTGTGAAGCAACTTTAAATCTTCAGCAGGAAGGGCAAGACAGACTGGAGATTTGGGGAAGGGAACAGGTAACAGAGTGTGGACGATAGGCTGAACATCTCAGGCTACCTTCTCCCCTCCCTGGACGTTGCTCCTATCTCTGGAATGTTTTTCTACTTTAGGCTTATTTTTATTCTGTTGTCCGAAGTATTAAAATATAACTCTTATTCTAGAGTAATTTCTTTCTCATCAAAAACATCAGACAGCTTCTTTACGTAGTAGCTATGACAAGAATATTTCTGAAGCATTTCAGTAAAAATAGTGCTGTCAAGTTTATTGGGTGATTAACTAGTAAGGAGGGCCATCAATGGGGTCATCCTAACAAGAAAAGGTAAAAAAAAGTAGCAGGCGAGTGGGGGCTCGGGGCCAAATGTGGCCTGAATTTGGGCCCTGGCCACCTGTATGCCCAATGGAAACCTGGAATTAGGGACCAGCCTTGGGTCTTTTAAAATCTATCCCGGCAGGAGGGTTAAGAAGCAGGTAGAAGTGCTGCCATGTGGCCATCAAGAGCAAGAACTTTGAAAAAGGCCAAGCTGGGCCGAGTCTACCATTACTCCATTGTATGCCTTGAGAAAGGTATTTACCTGTCTGATCCTCAGATTCCTTATCTGCACCACCTGACAAGGTGATTGAAAGCCTTCAACAAGAGAACACAGACAGCTGGGCCTACAGTAAGTTAGAAAGCCAAATATGGTGGCTCATGCCTGTAATCCCAGCACTTGGGAGGATCACTTGAGCCCAGAAGTCTGAGGCCAGCCTGGACAACCTAGCAAGACCTCATCTCCACACACAAAAAAATTAGAAAATTATCCAGCTGTGGTGGCACACGGCTCTAGTCCCAGCTACTCGGGTGGATTGCTTAAGGCCAAGACTTCAAGGTTATAGTGAGCTATGATTTTCCAGCCTGGGTTACTAAACAAATAAATAAGTTCCTGAGGTTTTACAGATTGATAATACTCAGCACCAACCTTCAAGGACTTACTGTTTCTGAGGAGTATGGACAACAGAGCATTCTAATTTCTGCACATCACTGAAAGTCTTGAGGTAGCAGGATTTGGATCATTGTGGCACAAAGGGGGGAGAGTAGGCAGCCACCAGAAAGGCTTCCTGAAGGAGAGTGATTTCTCCTGAATTTTCCGTGTCGTTTTCAAGTCACTAATCTATTTTTCCCAAGGGAAATTCAGGCCTCCTCTATAACGACAAATTATTCCACGTGTCAGAAGCTTATCAGCATTTTAATAAACTGGCTTTACTTGGAAAGCCAGTTACAAATGATTTCCCCTAAAAAGTTCCCCCCTTTTCAAAATGATGGCAGGCTTTAAACCCGCAGCATATTTGCACACATAGAGTAAACTTCCTGCAAGCTTTAATTTAGAGTTGGAATATGTCCTGGTCTTTCTGACAGTTGATGATTTTCAACATAGTGTTCATTAAGTGGGCAATTTGAGAAAGTAGCCAAATCAAGCTCCCAGTTTCCACGTAAACACTCCTCACAATCTCTCTCCGGCCTGTGGTTCCTTCTCCCTGGCTCCAAGGCCGCTGTGACAGCTGGACTTTGGGGCCACAACAGGTGGCAGGAGGATGAAAGCAACAGGTGCAGGTGAAGACTGGTCGACGGATTGCTCTGACCATGGCCAGAGGCTGACATGATTGATGAGCCAGTGGTTGACCCCTTTAGTCAACTGATGCCGGGTCATGGGCCAAAGGCAGAAGCCTCTAGAAAAGATGTGTATTTTTTCCAACATGATCCTGGTAGTTCTTAATTTAATCACATGCATTTCTAAATTGTTTTGTTGTGAGTGATTGTCTTGTATTCCTGTGTTACTCTTTGCACGATTCAGGTTTGGGTTTCTCTTTCTCTTATTTTAATTCACAGATGTGGGAGGAAGCCATTGCCTTGGGCAAGGAGCTAGCTGAGCAGTATGAAAACGAAATGTTTGATTATGAGCAACTCAGCGAATTGCTGGTAGGCCTCAATTTCCTTTCATTTAAATGAACACAGGCAACCTCAGCTTGTTTTTCAGGAATCTCTTTTTCCATTTCAGTGTTGGGATCCACCTCAGGCATTCTGTGGTCTTGCCCAGGTTCCTTTGTTTTGTCCTGGAAGATGGTTTTAGCTTATTTGCTGGTTGATTCTGGCCCATAAATATTCACTTTTTGTTCCCAAGTCAACCCTTATAACCAAACTTTAAGACTTCTATGAGTGAATTGCATCTAAAACAGCTGTTGACCTTGTATATAGTGGTCTTGACAGCCCAAGAGTCTCTGAGAGTCTCCACTCATTGAAAACTGACCCCTGCTACCAGAGGGGGAGGGACAGGTAATAACCAGACCTTTCTTGTGCCATAGACGCTCCAGGCATTCCCCCTTACCAAAAAAAATTTGCCTCTGTAAATTTTTAATTACTGTCTCCTCAAGTGTCATTTTTTGGATTCAGCAGATCGCCTTAATGATGTTACCGTATTTGTCATGGATTTATAACAGAACAATTCTGTCCTTTTAAATTCTTCTCTAATGTGTCCCAGTCTCTGATCCATACCATTTAAAAAATACCAAGGGCCAGACATTTCATCAGAAGCAAGCCCATTTCTGTGGCACCTCTTTAGTCATTGAAAACACCCACTTAAGGTCACAAATGGTTGCAGAATTGGGCTTGCTCAGATTTCTCACTGAATGATGGAGTGAAAAATAAAGTCAAAACAATAGGGCAAGATTCAATTCAAGTGCAAACCTCAGGACTCTACTCCCCCTGCCTCCCACTCTCACCCTGAGAACCTTGCCAAAGCTTGAAGAGCCCACTAGGAGAATGCAGAGGAACAAATATTCAGATATTCTACTTAACCTGAAATGCATATCTTTCTTTCCTCCAGAAAAAACAGGCTCAATTTTACGAAAACATCGTCAAAGTGATAAGACCCAAGCCTGACTATTTTGCTGTTGGCTACTATGGACAAGGACTCCCCACGTTCCTCCGGGTAAACTTGAATTTTGCTTAATCTGGGTCAAGACTGCTCCCTCAGCAGAGAGGCCCCTTCTCGTCCTGAAGCAGAATTGGGACTTTGCATTGTGTGACAAAGTCTGTCCATTCTCTCATAGCTAGCCCAGGGTGCCGGAGCCCTCTCTGATGTTTTCTTTGGTTGCAAGTAACCTTTCTGTCTGATTTTTCCCAAGAAGGACTCCCCTTCTGAGATTTATGTGCATTGCTTTAATTGTGGGGAGAGAAACATAAGATTTACTGTCTTAACCATTTTTAGGTGTATAGTTCAGTCACATTAAGCACGTTCACAGCGTTGTGCAACCATCACCACTGTCCACCTCCAGAAGTTTTTTGTTTCTTTTATCTTGCAAAAGTGAAACTCTGTACCCATTAAACACGAATTCCTCATTCTCTCTCCCCCCAGCCCCTGGCAGCTCATCATTCTACTTTGTGTCTCCAAAAATCTGACTAGGTACCTCCTATAAGCAGAGTCATGTAGTATTTGTCCTTTTGTGTCTGGCTTATTTCACTTAGCATCGTATCTTCTGGGTTTATCCATGTCGTAGCATGTGTCAGCCTTTTTAGGGCTGAATGGTAGTTCATTGTATGGACAGGCCACACTTTTTCTATCCGTTTATCTGTTGATGAACATTTGGGTTGTTCCTACCCAGTGTGCTGCTATGAACATGCATATTTTTAATTATATGGGAAATTGGAAGTGGGTCTCTATGGCCACCATACTAGAAACTCCAAATCATGCTCTATCTCTGAGACGGGCATGTGCTGTTGGACACATGATCAAAGCAGTAAACCATGATCTCTTACCATATGCCCTGTTTCTCGGTATTCACATGAGGCCAGAGGAAGAATTGTGTAAATAATGCAGCCCGGCCTATCAAAGACTTGTTTAAGGTTTTTCAAAAACATGTTCTTGGATGCCGTTGACCAATAGGTCATGATTTCCTGACATTTCTTATGATAGTTTTTTTTTCAACATGTGGTTTTCTCTCAGCCTGGGATTACTCTAGGTTTAGGAAAGCAGAGGCTCCATGCCTTGAGCACAGCTGTCTGGGGCAGTTAAAACAGTTAGGAGATGTTCCTGGTCCCAAAGGTGTGCTCCATTGGTCCCCATTTTTCCCCAGTTTCGTGGAGTCACTGAGAGTGTGAGACATCTCATCCTAGCACCCGTAGGTTGCAAGCCTTCCTGATGGGGAGGACATATAACTCTTTCTAGGAGTGCCCCACAGTTCTGGCCTGCTCCAGAAGGTGAGGTTGGTTGACCACTCCTCAGAGTCCTGCTGAAGACTGAGAAAGTCTTCCTTTCCCAAGAATGAATAAAGCATATTTGGTGATAAGCTCTCACTTAGGGAGAAATTTGAAATTAGCTCCATTCTAAATTACAAAAAAGTAAATAAAACTGAAGGATGGAATGAGCTTGGAGTTGAAATCTCTTACTGTGGCAAAAAGGCTATAAGTAGCGTATGTATCTGTGTGTGTGTGTCGCAAACTGTGTGTGTCTCTAAGAAAAGGAGAGAGACCAACCCTCAATCACGGCAGCCCCCTGCAATGCTGAGGTGTCAGATAGTGTGTGTGTGGCCAGCCCCTGGGGACAGAGATCTGTCTGTGGCATATAGCCACCAACTTCAGGTCTGTGCAGGGTAATTATCCAGGCATCCAGAGCAAAGCAGCAGCCTGCTGTGAATATGTGAGTGGAGTGCTGGGGGGAGACTGACAGTCCCCAAACCAATACACGCCAGGCTGTGCTGGGACCCCTCACACACTGTGGGCTCCAGGGACAGCACTGGGTCCGTCAAAAGGACAAAATGCAAAGTAAAATAGAGTTTAACAGGCTTGATTAATATTGAACTGACTTTCCCGCCACACCTGAGTAATTCTGTGGGGCTGTAGCAATACATTTATTACGCTTCACAGATCACCTGGCAGGGGTCAATCTGACAATGACATTAGCAGTTACCGAAAAGTGGCGGAATGTTTGGGTGCTTAATGCCATGCTAGGAGAGCAGCCTCTGAGAACTGACTTGCTATCCCTCTGCTTTGTTTTTCTCTAAAAATTGATCTCTTTTTCTTTTTTGGCATTCATATTGATATTTATAATTCTTACAAAGAATAAATATCTTTGACTATATGTACATTTCCCCCTTGTTTTCATGTTTGAAGGGACCACATCAGCATGCAAGGCAACTGATGTTTATAGAAAATGCTATTAGTGTTTTTATCCATAACTCACTGGTATTTTTCTATTAAAACCTTTATATACATTTCTATTATATCTTCTAATGCAAAGCATAAAAAATGCATGCTAGTTTCATAGTTATACATGAAATCTTACTGAATTTCTGAAGTGTGCGGCTTTATATAGCTTTATAAGATGCCCAAACTGTGTATTTATATTTCTAATTAAGACTATATATTACTTTGGTTTCTGCTTGATATTTTTTAAGAGAAATAGAACATTTTTCTTCCATGATGGTACTTTAAGACATAACTTAGCACAAAGTGAAAAAATGTATAGTCAGTTCTTAAACTGTTCCTTCGTTGGTGATTTATAAGAACTCAGAATATGCAGGGACTAGGGAAGGGATTTTCTTAGTCCGTTTAGGCTATATAACAAAATATCTTAGACTGGGTAATTTGCAAACAACAGAAATCTATTGCTCACAGTTCTGGAGCCTGGGAATGCCAAGATTAAGGCACCAGTAGGTTCAGTGTCTAGTGAGGACCTGTTTTTCATAGATGACACCTTCTATGTGTTCTCCCTTTTTTAAGGGCCCTAATCCTATTCACAGGGGTAGGCTCCTTGTGACCTAATCGCCTTCCCAAGGCCCCACCATCTAATACCGTCACCCTAGTGATGAGGTTTCAACATTTGAATTTTGAGGAGACACAAACACTCAGACCGTAGTGGAGATAAATTGATTGCATGCCATAAGGTCTCTCTTTATCTTTGTGAAAACCTATTAATTAGATAAATTTTCATTTGACTTTAATCTGAATCTCTAGGAGACAGATATATAATTACTCAGCAAAACATGGTGTGCTCTCTCTCTGTGTTCTCCTCTCTGGCATCTGTCCAGGAATTCCTACGGACAAGTCAGGGCTGCACTTGACTAGGGGAACAGCCAGTCTAGAGACTCTTACCCAGCCTCTCCTGATCGAAGCAACAGATGCAACAAGTCCCCATCATGAAAAGCATTGCCCCCAGACTTCTACGTAGTATGCCCTATGGCTTCTGCTCACGCTGTCTTCTCCTTGTTGCGGTTTTCACATAGGTTGAGACAACCCTAAGATGGGGCACAGTGGAGGGTTTCCAAAACCAACAGGAGTGTCACGCTGTCTACCCATTGGCATCTTATGAAACAGTTGACACTCAGAACATATTTGTTGAAGACAGAGGCCTGTTACATCTTGCAGGAAGAACTTTCCTTCCAAATATGTTTACGGAGTGACCGTGTCACATCCAGACAGAAATGACTGCAACAAAACAGCCTTGTGGAAAGGAGAACACGCCTCAACGTAACCCTTCTCCCCGATCCAAGCTACCTAGCCTAGCTATCCCTAACCCCCCCACACACACACCCCAGTGGACTCTTGTCGTGTGTTGATGATAGTAATTTGCACAATTACTTTGAATGCAGCAGGGGAAGTCCAGCTATCCATCCATCTCCAGTGACAAAAATACAGACACCGTTATCCACCCACCCTGGCTACCTTATCCCTTTCTCTAACCATCTCATGCCCTCTCTAGCATGAGGTTCCTATTTCTCACTTGGTTTTTTATCGTTCTTTAATCAGTCGTTACTGTCAAGACTAAAACGTATCTCACAGATTTTAGTAATGTAGAATTCCGTGCTTCTCAAGCAGTATTAACTTACATGCCTTGTGTCTGTGGGTTCTTGATTAAGACCGACACAATTACAAATTACAAAAAGAAGTGACTTGTTCTTAAACCGAGTGACATTTTTTAAGAAGCCGCCAAGACCATATTTTGAAGACCAGGGCATGGGCATGCGAACTCTTCTTGACCTTGTCTCTGTGGTGTTATTTAATGAATGTCATTGTTTTCCAGGGAAAAGTTTTCATTTACCGAGGGAAAGAGTATGAGCGCCGCGAAGATTTTGAAGCTCGGCTACTGACTCAGTTTCCAAATGCTGAGAAAATGAAGACAACATCTCCGCCAGGCGACGATATTAAAAACTCTCCCGGACAGTGTATCCTTCAAGACAGCTACGGCGATGCCATTCATTCGTGCGGTTGGGTGTACTTGGGGGGCCTTCTCTCATGGTCAAGGTCCATGCTACCTCATTGAACCTTAACCTCCCTCACCTCAGACATTCAGTGCTTCACAGTGAAGCCCAAACTTGATTTGCCCCCTAAATTTCACAGGCCAGTGTCGGAGCAGATTGTAAGGTAATATTTTCCGTTTTTGTTATCTAACGGGAGGGTAGTAAGAGGCTGTATCCAGATCTCTTGCTAATAATTCCACCTTTTATTTTGATTTATTTATTTACTTATTTGGAGTTGGAGTCTCACTCCGTCGCCCAGGCTGGAGTGTAGTGGCATGTTCACGGCCACCCCAGCATCGACCTGCTGGGCTCAGTTGATCCTTCCCCCTCAGCCTTCCAAGTAGCTGGAACTACAGGCACATGCTACCATGACTGGCTAATTTTTTTGATTTATGGTAGAGATGAGAGGCTGTTCTCAAACCCATGGGCTCAGGCAGTCCCCTCACCTTGTCCTCCCAAAATGCTGGGATGACAGGCTTGAGCCAATGCGCCCAGTCAATTCCACCTTTCATAGGATGGATTTTAGCCTTGGATTTGCTTTCCAGGTGTTCTTCCTGTCCTCTTCGAAGCGCAAGGGAAGGTAATTATTTTCAGCATCAAACAAAGTGAAGGAAGAAGTAGTTCATCTATGTTATGTGCTGGGAGGGTACAAAGGCTAATTCCCGCCCCACGGTTAGCAGACAGTGAAAACTCAGGTGGAAGGAACAGAAGGCACTCTGGTCTCCTTACAAACCTACCCTATGGGGTAGAATCATCTGTTGGGCTTTCAACAATGCATGAGCCCAGCAGCACATCTGAGTCTATATGTGTGGATGCAGCATTAGCATTTGCATTTTATAAGGCAGGAAAAGGATTTGGGACGTTTGTTTGGTGACGTGCCAGAGAAGAACCTTTCGGCCCCAGATCTCAGCAATTACATAATACGGGATTCTGAGGCGGCTTTTAAACCTCATGAGTCAACTCTCCAACTTTTGAGTGAGATTTCATGCCTCTCAATCGAATTGCTTCTGACATAGCAATGGTGTCGTAATACCTGCTTTAGCAGATGTTTCTTTGATGTTAAGAATTGTCTTTCCTGTTTGATCCATGTTCTGGTGAAAATATTAACCTCTTGGATGCCCTCCTGTTTCTCGGGATCTGCTTATTTTGCATCCTGAAGTTTGGTGGTTTCTTTAAACTTGCATCATTTGTTTGACCTTTCATCAGCGATGATGGGAAATAAACTAGGATGCTGTTTATTTACAAATGATTGCTTTCACAAAGCATACATTTTAAGGTTCACAGCATTGTTTTTTTCCAGAGGCATTAAGCAAATAGCGAACCAAAGAGCACACTCAGATACAGTAGTTCCTTTTGATGTGGGAGAGCCTGTTTGCATTTTAGTGCAAGGGGGAAAATAAATCTCTCCACACTTGCCCTCGTTATATGTGTAAAGCCCGCTTCTACCCAGGGGAGAGAGCCAGGCTCTTTGTGCTCCAAGTGTGTCTCTTTTGGGTGGTTGCGAAATCTGCATTTTGTAGATCTGAAACTAAAGTATGTAAACCTTTTTAAAGGCAATAAACGCATTCATGGAATACAAAGGCCTTTTTTTTTCTCTCTCCTTCACTTCACCTTCCCTCTATTTTTGCTCATTTCACTCTTACTAGCATCTCTTGAGGGTTGGCAGGGACAGGCAGGAGGCAAAATCTCAAGTTAATTTTTCCACCTGCCGACATCTCCCTTCTGATGCTGGCTGGGAGGGGAAGCCAAGGCTTCAGATCAAGGTTGGGATCTTTTATAAGATGCGATGACATATTCTGAGGCCAGACCCCGTGTCTAAAAGCAAATTGACTGTTTGCTGGGTTAAATGTTTAACGATTTGTCTATCTCTGTACAGTTTTTACAGGGTGAACGAGGTCCAGCGATTTGAATATTCTCGGCCAATCCGGAAGGGAGAGAAAAACCCAGACAATGAATTTGCGGTAAAATAAAAAGCAACCACCCACAAAAAGCTAAGAACCCTTATTTCACTAACAACAAAACTGCCCGTGGAGAAGTGTGGCCTCAAAGGCTATCACAAGCAGAGTCGAATCTTTCCTTGTATATTACGTGCAGAAACCCCAATCCGTGACCCCTACAGATTTAGACACGATTGACATTTCAGAAACGATATGACTAAAGTCATTAAGATACATAGTAAGGTAATGTGCTGGGGAAATCCTGGTGTTTTGTGCTGGTAACACATGTCTTTCCCTCCTACGTATATTCCAGTGGAACTTCCCATGAATCCCAGGAACTAGAGCAGGTGTCGGTATCTCTAGTTACAAAGAGACACATGGAGGTACCAAAGTGTCCGGTGTTGACGTGGCTTTCTGTAGGTGTCTGAACAGTTAGGAGATGAGCTGGGTCTGGACACCCATTCACCATCCAATGCCCTGCATCTGAGCTTAACAGCACACCACAGCATGGTTTACCCGGCACTACTGATGTTGGGACCAGGTTATTCTCTGTGCCACAGGCCGTCCTGTGCATGGTAGGATGTGATCAACATCCCTGACCCACTAGGTACCAATACCACCTCCCCAGTTGCAACAACCAATCAAAAAGTTTCCAGGCATTGCTAAATATCGACCTCATGTTATTATAAGCCACAGCGTTAGGGTCATGCTAATATTCCTGCAGATCCATACGGCCTTTTAAAAATTATTACAAGCTGGTTCAGTGGATTCCCTTTTTAAAAGGCATCAAATAAACAATAGTTTTAAATATGGCTAATGTCTCTCCATCTTGTCTGGAAAACCAGAAATCGCCGTCTAGGCCTATACTGCAAGGAAGCATTCGCTTTAAGGGCAAGCACTGCTGAGAATGGCTTCTTCCTTTGTGCGGTCTGGAGGCATCTGGGGTGCAAAGGTCAAAGGTCAAGGGTGAATGAACACCCTGCCCCTGACCCAAAGTGAAGCCTGGAGCACTTCCAGCAGAGTTGCCTCGAGTAGCTTTGAGTCTCTTGTCACAGCCCTTGAGACGGGGAGAAGTCCCTGCCAGCTCCAAGGCCAGATTTCTTGTATGTCACTGAGGAGGGTGGAGGAACCTGGGGTTGGTGAATTCTGCAGTATTCTGCAGTTCTAACAGGCTGATTGTTTTAAGACCAAGACCCTATTTCTTGGTACACACCAGCACTCTGGAGCTACTTGGTAACTGGTTCCCACAATATTTTCTGGAACAGTGAGGGAGAACATACCTAGGCATATCCAACTTGAATACCCTCACTAAGGGCAATGGCATTCTGGGACATCTGTATCTGTTACGGTCATTACAAGTAATAATGCGATTATTTATAAAGAGTCTCTCAATTTGAGATGTAGAAGCAGTCCTTGAATTTTCTTCACACCTCTCCCATCTGGCAAGTAGTATATTCTTAGACTATAAAGAATTAGACACAAGGAAGTCAAGAAAACAGCCAAAGGGTCGGCAGGCAGTCGGGTGCAGGGCTAAGAATAACTGAGACTCCTGACATGTTGAGCTGTGCTAAGCCTCAGAGGCTATGCTTCTTCTAAATGGCCCTAAAATCCCCTAATGGCCCTGTTTAGGTCCGCACACTTGGACGAAATGTTCAGAAGCCACAGGATTTGGTACTTCACAGACTTGACAAAGCCTTGGGCTTCTAGATAAGCACCGGGATTTTTGCAGGATTGGGAATCCAGGCTCTGGCCTCTTCTGCAGGGAGCCTGGCTCCAAGGGGAGGGGGACTGAGGAAACTGTCCGCCAGGCCAAGAGCTGGCCGTGGTGGCTCAACACCTACATACCTGGCAAGGGGCAGAGCTCTGAGAAGCAAGGACCAACTGGCACAGAGAGAGAGATGGGACCCCAGTTGGTGGGAGCTGGCCATACAGCCCAAGATGGAACCTGGAAGTCCCTCCCCGAGTGTGTTGATACATGAGACAAAGCATTGGAGATCCGGTCTATAGATAATTCTGAACCTGCACCCATCTCTACAAGTGAGGGTTTCAGGAAACCGTTCCCATAGGGCCAAAAGGAGCCTGGGAGACTGGATGTCTTGCCTATGTCCCGAGGTCTCAGCCAGGCTCTTCGCTTTCTCCCTCTGGATTCTAAGAGGTGTGGGATAAAGGCTTCCCAAGATCCAGGCCAGTTTTCAGGAGGCATCTGAGGCGTCTGTTGATGTTCCATTATCCTATCTATTTTTATCTAGTTGGTTATTGACAGATGAGTGGGCTTACAGTGGATAGAAAGGTTTAGAATAACCAGCTAAACATTCCAAAGGAAGAGGAGGGATAAAGGATTTCTGGTTTACTTCTGCAGTGGCGTTCTGTTTAGCCTGTAAAGAGGGATAGAATGATATTCATTGCCTTGAAACAGTTTCCTGCAATATGTTATATACTATTTTACAAAGAATACAGATTGTAAAATGATGTTTTTATTCAAAATATGCATATTCATGCTTTTTAATGGTAGGAAGTATAGGACAATAGATACTAGTAATAAAATGTTTATCATCTTAGGGCAGTGAGTGGTTTTTTTTCTATTTCCATATCAGTATGTTCTCCTGTAAACATATGTTAGTTTTATTAAAATTTTTTAAAGCTTAAAATACTGAGTTTATTAGAATGTAACAGGTCACTTTTATGAGACTCACTCTTCCAAAGATGCATTTGCACCTTTGAGTTTCCTGTGAGCACTGAGTAAGGTTAACGTAAAAGCCATTTGGAACCTTTTCAAAAATCTGTTTGCTCAAGAGGAGACTCCTCTCATTTTGAGGCATATTACATCTTGCCCTGCCCACCTGTTATAGTTTGGCTATCAAATACCCAAGAGGTGGACAGTGTGGCTCTGCAATAAGGGGGTCGACCCTTTGTTGTGTCCGGTGCTGTCTCAGCGCACACCTGCCCTGCACAGACAGAAGCCTGTCCTGGAGGACTTGACTCCATAGAGTTGTAAATCCCCATTAAGACAGAGCTGTTCACCTGTTGACATCCTTCTCCTAACAAGTGTCATGTGTTCCCTTTGCAGAATATGTGGATTGAGAGAACCATATATACAACTGCGTATAAACTACCCGGAATTTTAAGATGGTTTGAGGTCAAATCTGTTTTCATGGTAAGAACACGCCACCCCCACTCCCTGGAGCAATTGCCCACATCCTTCCCTGATGCAGTCTGACATACCTTCTTTGCCCCCCCCATGTGCCCTGTGGTCACTGGAGCTGTTATGCACATGGCAGACCCCAAAGCTCCTGTCATCACCCCGCTTGTTCCGCCAAGCCCTGATGTCCCCTCACCCACCAATGTTTTTGAGGAAATGCTGTGTAATCACCACCAACTCTAACTTATAAGGAAACCAGAACTACGCTTTCATTTCTTCTTACAAAAATATTTAAATTCAGTCATAGCTGTGCTGTTTTGACAGTTATTTCCGTTAACTAAATGAAAAGTTTAAGACAAGTTCTAATTTACATAAACTTTTTAAAAGATCTTTCTTCCCTGATGGTCTTATTACCATTTACGTGACAAACAACATAATTAATAGTCCTTGCTCATTTCAAGTAAAAATAGCCTCAGAGGATACCTCCTCCCTAGCACTTTTCAAAGGAGTAAATGATTTCCGTCTCTCAGCAAAGCCAAACTTTACCTTGCTGTGGGATAGTTTCATTTACATGAAACTCACATTTACAGTGAACTGCTGGACAGTTTCATTTACATGAGGCAGAGTCGGTCAGCAGATGTATGGACTATATCAAAACGTCAGGGCCAAGGTAATTGGCGGTATAAAAAGATCCGATGGAAATATGTAAGTTTTTGTTCCTGTGTCTCAATTCCTTCTGTTTTTTGCCTGGTAGGATCTCACCCAGAGAGGTGGTGCTTGTCATTTAGTTTCCAAGAAACACCTGCTTATTTGGCTCCAGAACTTAGCCGGAATCTCCCTTCCCAGCCACGTGTCCACTCTCCCCCTTTACCCACGTCAGCCCAAGCTCTGGGCCATTTCATGAAGCTTGTGGTCTGCCAGACCTCCTCACTCTGAAAGGCCACCCTCCGTCGGAGCCACCGCCTCCTGCTCAGAGCTCCTTACCCCTTCACCCACCCCTCCTGGGGACACTTTCCACTTTCTGCTCTGGGCGCTTCCGTTCTGTGCCCACAGCACCCAGGCAGTGCCTGACAGATGGAAGGCTGTCGGGAGTTGTGTGTCAGATGGTGAAAAGGCAGCCCCTTCGCTGGGTGCCTTTGGAGCTGGTGACACGCTGTACGTGCAGAGATGACAGAAGGGCAGGCCCTTCACATAAACAGGCACTAATCCTCATAATGAGCCTCTTCCCGTAAGCCCTTTGTAATCAGGGATTCTGTGAGCCAGCAGGCTGCCGGGGCGCAGGAGCTTAATCACTCAGAGGTGGAGAGGGGTGCCCTGACCTTTTGTGAGCATGCAGCGCCTGCTCGGGCTGCTTTAGCCATTTTTAGCAGGCTAAGAGGGCTGGGAAGCGAGTCATCCCAGAGCGGCAGGACTGAAATCCTGCTATCAAACCCCCTGTGGTCCAAGTTTGTGCCTCCTAGGACTGACCCCCATGGGATATCTGTGGGGGCAGCCCCTAACCCTGTTTGATCACAGGAAATGATTTTTTCTTGAGGCAGATGAGACCAGGACAGGGAGCTTCGCAGTGAGTCCATTTGGAATACTGCCCTGGTGTGTTTTTTGGTGAAGCCGTATGTCTGGGGTGAGGCATTCTAGGACCTGACAAAACAAGGTGTGGGGTCAGGACAGCGTTCCTAGGACATGTGTTGCTGGGGGGGGCACATGAAGCAAGGGGCTCGCTTGACAGTGCACACGTGGTCGGCCGTGTTCTGTGCTTTATGGCTTCTCTATGACTGCCCCTGTCAGGGCACAGGTGGCCACGTGGGCAAGCCAAGATCCTCCATAGCCGCTGAGGAGTGGCAATCTAGGGTTTGGCATTTTATAGAGTTGTTCATTCTCTGCTCACCTCTGCTCTGACCCACCCCACCTCCCAGACAATCTTCCAACAGCTGCAGCAAGAAAGTTTCTGGGAATGGGAGGGGCTTATCACACCTTTGGGAAGATCAAAATTCTTGTTGCAGTCACCCCTGGACATGATCCCCACGGCCTAGTGGGAAGAGGCAGTTGGGTCTGCTAGAGCGAGGCCTACAGGGAGAGTTGAGCCAGAGGGTGCTGGGCTGAGGCCTGGCCAGGACCCATGGACCCTCAGAGAAGAATGGAGGTCCTAGAGAAGCGTGCAAGGGAAGCTGAGAAGGTCAGGTCCTCGGTCCCCTGCATCCTGCTCTGAATGCCTTGCCAATCAGTGGCAGCTTTGCAACTGAGGCCCATGAGGTGGGTTGGAAGTGCCCACAAGCAGCCTTTTCCCTTCCTTCACACAGAGGTATGTGGAGCCATTGCGGGGTCCCCCCCTGACTAGACGGGTACAGCTGGCTTCCTAAAGTGGCTGAGACCTCTTTCTAGATTCTTCAAAATTCCCTGCAATCCTCGTACTCTGTCAAACAAGCAGAGAACAAAAACATGATTGAAAAACCTCGCTTCTGAAGCAGACAGGCGGTGTCAAGCACCACTCAGAGCTGTGTGTTTTCCTGGGCTGTCCACATGTGCACACACATGCATGTGCACACACACACATGTGCACCCGCTCCCAGAGCCCAGCGACCTTGCCTTGTTCCTTCAGAATGACTGAGTGAGGCCTCCATCTGTGGAAACAAACAATGATAGTGAAATACCCGGTTGCTCTTCGTTGGGCCATAAGTGATCTTGCCCAAGTATTCTGTGGGGAAAAAAGGTGCAAGGAGGTGCAGGAAGCCTGCCCTGCCTCAAAGGCCTGCTCCTCTGGTGAGGCCCTGAGGACCGCAGCCTTGGATGTGGCCGCCTGGCTGAGGTTGGACTGCTCTCCGCCCTCCTTGCAGGTGGAGATCAGCCCTCTGGAGAATGCCATCGAGACCATGCAGCTGACAAATGACAAGATCAACAGCATGGTGCAGCAGCACCTGGACGACCCCAGCCTCCCCATCAACCCGCTCTCCATGCTGCTGAATGGCATTGTGGACCCCGCCGTCATGGGGGGCTTTGCAAACTACGAAAAGGTACGGGGCGCGCCAGCTTTCTCTTGAAGCCCTGGCCTGGGACGGCTAAAAATTCCAAACGCTGTCCCCAAAGCCCCAAAATGACCCCACTCTTGCTGGGCAGTCTCAGCCGCGACCCAGCCAAGGACAGGCAGGAGCCCCAGGGGCAGCCCCTGCAGGCTGCAGGACAGTCAGGGCCTGACCCCTGACACAACTCCCCTGGGTATCCCCAGACGGCCAGGAAGCTTCCACTGACCCACCCAGCTTGGGTTTTTCAGTGTTCAGTGGGCTTTAAGTGGCTTTCAAGATCCCCGAGATTTTAAAGGCCAAAAGACGCAATTTAGAGAAAGACAAAAGCATCAGAATCCTTAGACTAGGAAGGTAGCATGTTTAGAGCGGAGGGTCCTGGCCAGCTGGTCTCCCCAGATCCTACTCAGTAGGAATGGGAAGAAGTCGAAAGACACGGGGAATGGGCAGAAGTGAGGGGCACAGGGATCTGCACAGGGCAGCCTGTGCTCGTTTCTGTAAATGCAATTCTGTTGGTACAAGACCATACCTGTGCATTTACTTGTTGCCTGAGGCCGCTTTCCTAATACTGTACAGCAGAGTTGAATAGTTAAACCATTGGGTAGTTGTGACAGAGACCCGTATGGTCCACAAAACTTAAAATGTTTACCCTCTGGCCCTTCTCAGAAAAAACTTGCTGACCTCTGATCTAGACAAAGTAAAAACTGAGACAGAAGGGGCATTGCCAGAGAACAGGCTGCCAGGGGATGGTTAACTGTCCTTGGACAAAGAGGTGGCACATTCTTAATTCTGTATCTTCGGGTATAGGTCAGACCTGCGCAGGCACAGATGCAGCTGCGGGGTGGGGTCTTGGGCATGTGAACAGCTGGGGGGTTCATACTCACTGCCACCCAGGAGGACCCAGCAATCCTTGTCAGCCCTTACTACTCTGGACTCCAGGAACTGACAGTGCTGCTATGGTTGCCTCTCTTGGCGGATTGTTAGCTCCATTGTGTCTGACCTTACCAGATATTTTGTTCTGGGTGCTGGGGAAGGTGCAACTCCAGGGTCTGGAGTGAGTTCCGCATGGGTCTATGTGATGCAGGACTCTATCCCCAGTAAGTGTGCACACATCTGCGTTGGATAAGCAGGTGGACTGAGTGGCTCTCCCTGTCTCTGCCAGGCCTTCTTTACAGAACGCTACCTGCAGGAGCATCCGGAGGCTCATGAAAAGATTGAGAAGCTCAAGGACCTGATTGCCTGGCAGGTAAGGTGTCTAATGGCAGTCCGGCATGGGTAGAGGGGAAGAAATGCTGGGGCCAGGCCCAGATCCAGCTGGGCCCCTGAGCCTACGTGCCAGGCCGACTTGGAGGCCTCTGGACAGCAGTCACGATGCATGTGACTAGGGCTGTCCCTGGGTGAACCCACTTCCCGCTGCCATGATTAACTCAGCTCCTGCACTGCAGATGTGAATTTGAACACCCAGAAGATTCTCTCTTGCAAACAGTCAGGGTCTCTTTCCTCCCTTTGGTCAGTTATACTGACTGCTGGAAAATATTTCTGTCTTCATTGATAGACTATCGAGGCAAGCTCAGAGCCATGAAGCCTTGAGCAGCCTATGCAGTCCTTGTGAAATATAAAGGTTGGAAGCTGGGGCACCCTCTCCTTGGACTCTGTGCAGGCTTGGGGGCGGTGAGGTATCCTCATTGATGATTTCCGAGCTGTAATTCTGCATATTATTTCATTTTTCTGCTCACGCTCTGGGGGCCTTCGAAGTCTTTCTTAGAGGTTCATCTTCTTACAAGGGTGGGCCTCTCTGGAAAGTATATATCTGAACTTCTCGGACCCTTCCTGAGCGTGGCGTATAAGAAATGTCGAGACTCGGTTCTCACGGGAGATCGGCCTTCATTTGCTGCTACTTCGGACAACTCACTTTTTTAGGCCTCCCTTTCTCATGTGAGAAGTGAGGAAGGGGCTGTCCCTGAGATTTTCTCACCGAATAAAGAGAGCTAGGGGAGGTGGGGGCGGGGTTCTGTTTGTGCTTGGACTGGGGGTTGTAGCTCAGGTTTCTTTGCTGAGCTAGGGGTCCCAAGCTCCCAGTGGGGGTCCAGAGACCCTGCAGGGCTTATCTGTGCTCATCGGGCCCAGGGCAAGGCTGTTCCTCTAAGGAGACATCTCCGTGGGCATCTTTGTTTTGGCCATCCCCATGGGGCCTCATTCTAGTGGCTTCACGTCTATCAACTCATTGCCAGTGAAACCTCTTAGGGTGGAACAAAGGCTGAGCTTTCGTTATAAACCAAGTTACAAATCCTCCTAACTTGTGTTTAGATGTATAGGATGGACTGGAATTGTATAATTCTAAGTACTTATACATGTTCACAATATATGTATATATTATATGCAATTGTTATACAATATACATAGCATAAAATTTACCCTTTTTTTTTTTTTTGAGTTGGAGTCTCACTCTGTCACCCACACTGAAGTGCAGTGGCCGCTCCCGGCCACCGCCGCCTCGACCTGCTGGGCTCCGGCGATCCTTCCGCCTCAGCCTCCACGTAGCTGGAACTACAGGTGCATGCTACCACGCCCGGCTGATTTTTTGATTTATTGTGGAGATGAGGTCTCGCCAAGTTGCCCAGGTGGGTCTCGACCCCATGGGCTCAGGCAATCCACTCACCTCAGCCTCCCAAGGCGTGGGATTACAGGCTGAGCCACCGAGCCCGGCAAAATGTATGCTTTTAACCATTTTTCAAGTGTATAGTTCAGTGGCATTCAACAAATTCACATTGTCATTGCAACCATCACCACCATCCACCTCCAGAGCGCTTGCATCTTGCAAAACTGAAATTCTGTGCCCATTGAACAGGGACTCTACCCTTTCCCCCCCCACAACCAGCCCCCGGTAATCAGGTTCTACATTCTGTCTCTATGAATTTGTCTACTCGAGATACCTCACATGAGCAGAATCATGCAGTATTTGTCCTTTGGCGTCTGGCTTCTTTCCCTTAGCGTCATGTCTTCAAGGTTCATCCATGTGATCGCATAGGCCAGAACGTCATTCCTTCTTAAGGCTGAATCATATTTCATTGTAGGGATAGACCACATTTCTTTCTTCCATTTGTCTGTTGATGAAGATTTGGATCATTTACGCTTTTGGCTAATGTGAATAATGCTGCTAGAACATGGGTGTACAAGTATCTGTTTAAGAACAAATATCCGCTTTCATTACTTTTGGGCACATCTCCCAAACTAGAATCGCTGGATCATATGGTATTCTGTGTTTAATTTTCTGAGGGACTGCCAACTCTTCTACGACGGCTGCACCATTTCACATTCTCACCCGCTGTAACGCATGATTTCAATTTTTTGCACCCTCTAAGACTTGTTATTTTGTTTGTTTTTTAAAAATAGTAGCCCTTCTAATGGGTGTGAGGTTTTATATATTTCTTTAACAAGTTATATTAAACAGAAAGAAATTAGGCTTTGTCACCAACTTGTCTGCATTTTAAATGTTTGCCTTGGAATTGCTTGTGATGAAAAAACCCTCAGAGATGGCTGAAGGGACATGGGTAGCCAACGATGGTTGCTTTGACTGGAAAGTAAGCCTCATGTAGGAAGTCTTCCTCCCTTACTAAAAAAGTGGGACTAGGTTTACAGTCTTGAATGACCCCATTTTCGATGTTGTAGAAACTAAAGGGTACAAAATTCAAAATTCCTCTGAAGGCTATAAAACCATTGCTATACAAAAACTAGTTTGGTCTGCAAAAGTTCTATTGATTTTTTTTTTCCTGTAAGCTTTTACAGCAAATTGGATTTTAAGAGTTTCAAGTCCTACAGAGGAAAATAATTTGTTCCCCAGAGAGCAACTTTATGTCAGCACTATATCATCATCCCTAATAACTATATTAAAGGATGCATTTTAAAGGAGGTCACAGGAAAGTTGAAAGGAAGAATCTGTTTTCTCGTAGCTTCATTAAATCAAAGAATGAGGGGAAAATGCATATTCAAAACATTACCTGTGATTTTGTTTTCATTGGCAAATGTTTTGAAAACTCACATCTTAATATACTTGAGTTCATTACAAAGACGTTTAGGGTTATCAGAATGCTTTGTTCTCTTTTTGTTTATTAGTTCATTTGTTTTTTGTTGTTTTTTTTTTTCCTGGAAACTCTATCGGAGCCAGGTGAAGTTTTCCTGCTGGGAGTCCCAGGACTCATTTGCAGAGTTTCCGTCACCGATGTACAATACGCACATTGCCAATGCCTCAAATCATTTGTGAAGACTGGTTAATAAGTCCCAGGAAGCTCCTCAGCTCTGCCGGCTATCTCTGAAACAGAGGACAGGCTGCTCTGCTCCACACCAGGAGGGAGGCTGTGGTCGGGGTATGGGCCGTGTGGAGCCTCTTTTAGGTTTGCAGCTGACACCGGGTCATGAGTCACTTCCTCAAAGGCACAGCTCCATCTTTTCCCAAACACAGCTGTCATTGTTGGGCATCCCTGCCGAGTGTCCAAAGATGAATCCGTACAGTCTCACATTAAACTGCTGTGATGTGCATATATTTCTCTTTTGAAATGTTCAAAGATGAAAGCCGAACTCACTCATCATCCCCAGCTGATGACAAGCGTGACCATTGTAGCCAGGGGTGGTGCTCCTGGAGCACTGAACGGGATTTCCAATGTTCTGTGCTGCTTGCAGGGCACGAATCTGTGCCTGGGACAGACAGGAGCAAACTTCAAACATCACCCATCAGGAGGGTGTGTTTTTAGAGCCGGCTGGAGGCTCACTTTCATCAACTAGAAGTGTGACTTGGGGAAAGTCCTCTTTTCCTCTCGGGGCTCTGAGAAACTCTTTAGGAAAGCAGATTCCTGGGACCCACCCACAGCAGATCAGGGTACTGGAGGTGGGGTTCAGGAATCTGCCCGAGAGATTCTAATGCTCAGCCAGGTTAGACCCCACCGAACTAAAGGATCTCCAGAGACCTAGGTGGATGGTTCCTATTTGAATATTATGTACCTGTACGTTGGAATGTGTTCACACAAGACATCCGTTTTATTTTCTTTCATTTAGAATCACAGCTGCGGTTCAGTCCCAGATAGGCATAGAACAGGGGCCAGTTCCTTCTTATTTGAAGGCTCTGGCTGTTTCCAATCAATGTCAGAGACTGTTGAGAGTGATGAATTCTCACACCTTGTAAGTTTCACCTACCAGATTATAGTTCCAGCAGTTCCAATGACCTGAGCCAAAGGCTTTAACTCTTATCCAGCAAGTAGCTTTTTCAATGTAAAGGATCTGACCAATTAAGAGTTTTATCACACCAACAAAAAACTCAGAGAAATGATTAGATTGCATTTTGCACCTTTGAGAAAGGCTCCTCCTAAATCCAAAAAGCTTTTAGTATCTAGGGTGCTGTGCTTTTTTTCACCGTGAGACAGCACCCCCCCACATACTCAGAGATGGACACATTTACCATCCGACCAAAAAGAGTTGTCCCAGCTTGGCTTTGTCATCCCACAAGGCAGAACTCAGGAAGCAGAAGCATGACAGTGAGTACTTTCTGCTGATGGCCCTGAGCAAATTGTAGCTAGCCCAGAGAGCTGCTGTCTGCGTGAGTCATTCACATGGAATATGAAAATGTCCCGTGTATTTTGAAATCTCACCTGCACGTTTTCCCGTTGGCCATAACTGGCCAGAAAGGGATAAACTGGTATGTGCCCTGGATCTTTGGCTCAGCTGTCAGCAAAACAAACTTTTGTGTCAATGCAGCCTGAGAGCAGGCTTGGGGAGGGGGCTATGAATACAGGGGAGCACTTGTTATTCCCTTCTTTCCTAGAGTACTTACTGAGAGGCAACAGCTGCGTGCTATAAATGGCAACCAAATCCATTTGATGGCGTTGATTCATCTTGATAAGATTTCTTGAATTGGCTCACATGAAATTCAATTGTGTACTTATTATCCTTCTTACTAATAAATCTGCTCATTTAGATTGGTGTTCTGTCCTATTAGGAAAATCTGTTTTTAATCAGTATTTTGATTTAATTATAAATTATTAAGAGGAAGCCTCTTAACTTGATTGCATGGAAAATGTCTAACTCTCAGCCCAAACCCTGGGGGGAAGCAGAGACCGGGGACAGAAAGGGAGCCTTTTCTTCCACCCAACCCCAAAACAGCAGCGACTCTGGTGGGTTTCTATAGCTGGGAGAATGAAATGTCTCTCTTACGACGCTTTTAAAGGTCAGCTACATCTCCACGCTCGGAAGTGAAGTGTTGGCATGGATATTTTGTGACAGCAGTGTCGGCAGAGAAGTGATTATTTTTAGTCTTAAGGAAGAATAAATTTGGTGTTCCTTTCCAAATAAGAATATTCTTCGGGACTATAGATCACATATAATTAAGTTTTGGAATAGAGTTCTCCATTGCCTGTAGAGGCAATACTCTTAGCTAAAAAATATGTGCACTCTGACATGACCCTTCGCTAATAGAACAAGTTGTATCTAAACACATTTAAAGTTCAGCTCTTCCCAAACTCAAGTGAAAAGCACAGATAAGTCTATTCTGGGGAATTAATTGAGTGGCTCTCCACTGGACATAGCCAACTGAGAACACAAATGATTCTCATTTAAACGTTTGTGTCTTTGGGGGGTAATATGCCTGCTGATGAATTCAGTCAGCCAATTTAATGTGGAAACAAAAGCAGATGCGTTTTGCACCGTTCCGCTTTCCTCTGGTGTGCGTGGCTCTCCCTAGACCATTATCTAAGAACTAAGGAACAACAACCTCTCTGTTTTTCAGATTCCATTTTTGGCCGAGGGGATCAGAATTCATGGAGACAAAGTCACGGAAGCACTGAGGCCGTTTCATGAGAGGATGGAAGCTTGTTTCAAACAGCTGAAAGAAAAAGTGGAAAAGCAGTATGGTGTCCGAATCATGGTAAGTGATTGTCATAGAATAGGCTCCTCTGTGTATTCCACTGTTCAGCCGTGACGGGCTCACAGATCAGAGAGGCTCATATGTGCACACCATACCTGCTTAGAAAGTGGGGTTTAAGGGAGCTCACCTCCTTGGCCAGGCCAGCACCCTCCTTTCAACAAGTGGAAATGTCAGAGTAAATAAACATTCATGAGTTTTCTTGATCACCAGACACTCCCTCATCTGCTGTGAACACAGTAGAGATATCTCACAGAGACCCATGCGACTCAGCTGGTTGACAGAGCATTCACCACACACAAGGAGGTCAGTAAGCCACAGGGCAACAACACTTGGCAACAACACAGGGCAACAACATCCAAGGTTGAAGTCTAAGAATCGTGGCCATGAGGGAGGACTGATAGCTTTCTCAAGGCTTGAAATTGTTAGAAGACTCATCTGTTGGGGGAAGTGGTAGTTGATCTAGAACAAGGGGATAGGTCAGATATGGTCAGGGGAGGAGATAGGAAGGAGAAAGGACTTCCTTCGCTGGGAGACAGGAATGTAAATGGCCAGAGGCCAGTACATACACAAGCATGTCTTAGGCAGAAGAGAAATCACAGGGGAGGAGATGGAAACGCACCCAGCCTCCAAGAACTAGGGATGCCAGGCTGGGGTAGAAGGATCTGCTCGTAATAAAATGCAGAACTGGGCTTTTTCAATGAGTCTATGGAAGTTGTCTGAGCAGTCTGGGATAAAGAGCAGCTTGTAAGTTTGTTTTGCTTTGTTTTGTTTTTTGAGTTGGAGTCTCACTCTGTCACCCAGACTGGAGTGCAGTGGCACGCTCCCGGCCACCGCAGCCTCGCCCTGCTGGGCTCCAGTGATCCTTCCGCCTCAGCCTTCCAAGTAGCCTGAACTACAGGCGCGCGCTACCACACCTGGCTAATTTTTTATTCATTGTAGAGATGAGGTCTCGCCAAGTTTCCCAGGTGGGTCTCAAACCCGCGGACTCAGGCAATCCACTTGCCTCGGCCTCCCAAAGTACTGGGATTACAGGCCGAGCCACCGAGCCCGCCCAAAGCTTGAAAGTTTTTTAATGATGCAACATGTCTTGACGTTGAAGTCTTACAGCAGGCTTGAGACTGTCCTCCATGAGCTATGCCTTAGCACTCCTGGGGCAAGGCTAGACTCAAGTCATATCGCTGCCTCCTGTAAGGTTCAGAGTGACACTTTCATTTTTACAGTCTCTGGAGCTTTGCTGGGACCTACTCTGTCTGTCTGAACTCTGGAGACATCAGACACAAATAGGACCCCCATTCCCTGTTGTTCAGGTATGAGGGGTAATGCATCACAGAGAGACAGTGAGCCCTCTTCTCATCTACTCCAGTTCCTTGCCTACTGGCATTGGTGCACAGATCTCCAACTGGCTGCAAAAGGAAGGTGAGCTTGGAAAGTCATTCCACCTCTTATAACCTAGGGTGCTTTCCACTCCTTGAAGACCAGGGATGTCATTTTGGTTTCCTCTGTGGCCAGGGACCATCTGTCCGCACGTTCCTAAAGTTCTCAGCTGCTCTTTCTGTGGAATTCTCTTTTCTTTCCATATTATCTCATATTTAGCAAACTCTAATTTAACACTGACTGGGTGCCAGGGACCTGCCCAAATGTTGTTTACAGATATTCATTTGCTTAACCCGCCTAACACTCACTGTAGCCGGCACTGCAGCCATTTCCATTTTATAGATAAGGAAATGGAGTCCCAGGGAGATTAACTAGCTCCAGGTCACATGCTAGCAAGGTACAGACTGGGGGTTTGAGCCCTATCACTCTACCTCCAGCGTCTGCGCTTTTAGCCCTTACTCTGTATTTTACACCACAGAGCTTCTCCTTCTCTTCCCCACGTGGGAAGAAATGCATAGGAGACCCGGGATCTCCCTGAGAGCAGTCCACCACACTGCTCTCCTCGTCTCCTCACCTCTGCTGGCGTAGCTGAGCCTTGGGCCCTCCAAGCCCGGGGCCTGGTGTCCATCAGATGAGGGAGTCCTGGGTCTGACAAAGCCCACATCGCACGACTGGTCTGAAAGCTCAGCAGACGGGGCCCTGGGTCTGACAGCCCAGCAGGAGCTGCTACAGGTGAACAGGCTTGGAAATCAGGGCACTCTCCTTCCGAGCCAAGCTGGAGGACCCTTTGCGTGAGTCAGAATCCTTGAGGAGCGCCTCATAGTTTCAGAGCTCACAACTCATCGCAATCCGAGTGAGCAGTGAGAAGTGTTTCAGTGTGTCACAGTTTATCTCTTTCAGCATTCCACACCAGTTTTGATTCTTTCTAAGAAGCAAACACTTGTGAAATCTTAACATTTTCTTCCTAAGCGAAAAGCTTCCTCTGTTGATCAGTCATCGGATGTATATTTCAAAATTAGGGAAAGCTGTCTGGCTCATGGAACTTCGTTCAGGCCCTTTCTTTGCTGTGATCTGTTATTTCTGTGCATGCTTGCTGCTGGGCACAGGGGAGACAGCAAGGGCAAGAAGGCTTGGGTGTTGGGTGCACGGCGGGATATCTTTTCACTCAGGGACAACCATCACCAGCTACAGACATGCTTGGCCGGAGATGAGCACTTCCCACCACATCACAAGGCTGCGACGTCTCCTCCAAACTTTCCACCCTTCTCTGTAGGGGCAGCCAGGGCATTCCAGCGAGGGAGTAGAGGGGCTAATATCGGGGGTGCCAACCAGAAACAGAATGAAGGGTGCACTTCCCAACCTCGGATGCTGTGTCCCCGGGAGCTGCCTTCCGGAGTCCTTCATCCTGTGACCTCAAACACGGGCTCTGTCCCCTGCTTCCTTGGAGTGAGCAAAAAGGACAGGTGGATCCCCTGTCATTCTACTTTGGAAACTTGCAAGCGTCTCAGAATACTTTGAAAAGCTATATTGTATCATCCTGTTCGAAAAAGATAGATTCAAAAATAAAAAAAACCCATAGAAAGGACATTTTGTCAATTTTTCTGAGCCAGCCTAAGCCACAGAAAGAGACGATTTGGACACCCTCTGACTTCTTAATGCATAGGCCCGTCTGGCCTGCTTCACTTTGGTTTTTTCTCACCAGTCCTGGGCCTCTAGGGAGCCACAGTCCCTGGGTGACAGCTCTGCAGCCCAGCTTCTCCTGACTCTGGGATGAAGTGTATAGACCCTGGGAGCCCCAGGAAAGAGCTCACAAGCACCTGCTGCTTTCTCAATAGCCCCCAAGCATCCGCTGGCTCACGGCACGTAGGAGGCGTGTGTGTTTGCCTTCAAGCGAATGAAAGTGATTTGTATGTTTCCCCCCAAATCTTCACCCACCTCTTCTTTCATGTCTGGTGAAGAGCAGGAAACCTTTCCTGGTTCCGCCCTCTCTCTGCTCAAGTCCACTTCATCATTTTACACCAGCCTTCAAGATGGGAATGATCATTCTCTGCATGCTCAGTAGGAAGCTGAGGCTCACTGGGGCTCCAGATTTTACGCAAGGTCATAGTGTTGGTGCCAGAGCGAAAATACTAGCCTAGTTCCAACACCTCCAATTCTTGTCCTTGCTGTTGGGATCAGGAGAAATCAGTTCCCTCCCACTGTCTGCCCTGAGGTCACACTTGTCAGTGCTGGGTGAGACTTTTAATTGCATCAGATAAAAAAATGGAAGCTGGATTTCTAGAGGCTGTGCTCAATCAAGAAGGAATTGAGCCCTCAGTGTGTGCCCTGCCGAGTGGGACCCTGATAACAGCATCTATTCCTCCGTGGCCAGAGCCCTCTTCCTTCCTTTACCTATGGCAGTCTATACTCACACATCCCAACCCCAGCTCCAGATCACCACCTGAGGGTCTTCACCAGCCCTTGGTGGTAGGAGGTCGGAGGCCCAGGACTGCTTTCTGGGCCTTCCCTGGAGCTGCAGACTGGTTGTCCGTGTTGAGTGTCTCCATCTCCTGGTCCCTGACTGACCCCGCTCTGTGCACCTGTTCACTCACACCCAAGTCCTCATGGCTGCTGTGAAGATCATTTCATCACAGAGATACGGAAAGTGACAGGCTGGATGCTCTTAAGAGTGGGCCAGCCCTAGCCGGGCTCGGTGGCTCAGCCTGTAGTCCCGCACCTTTGGGAGACTGAGGTGAGTGGATTGCCTGAGCCCGCAGGTTCGAGACCCGCCTGGGCAGCGAGACCTCATCTCTACAATAAATCAAAAAATCAGCCGGGCGTGGGAGCGCATGCCTGTAATTCCAGCTACTCGGAAGGCTGAGGCGGAAGGATCGCCAGAGCCCAGCAGGTCGAGGCTGCGGTGGCCGGGAGTGGCCACTGCACTCCAGTCTGGGCGACAGAGTGAGACTCCAACTAAAAAAAAAAAAAAAAGAATGGGCCAGCCCAAACTTTGCAAGTTTCTTCTCACTGTATGCGCAGTTTCATTTCCATGGATGCTGCTTCTCCACCTGCCTGGTAGATGGTGGGATAGAAAGGTGGCATCTTGCAAGCTATAGAGATCACCTGAGAAGGAGGTTGCTGACTTGCTTCTTTTCTTCCTTCTACCTGTGGCCAAAAGTCGAGACAGAGGCAGTTCCAGCAGAGAGGCTGGATGAGAGTCCCTCCTGGATGGTAGAGTAGATGGGTGTTCAGAAAGATGATCACCTGGCTTCCACCAAGCTCTGTCCCCACTCTGGGCCTGTCTGCAAAAACTGCTGCTGTGGAAGAAACGGCAAGGGATAGTGTGAATTTCGAAAGACAGCGGATGCCAACATGTCTCATTTAAGATGTAAAGAGGGTCAGAGATGCCAGAGAGAAGATGCAACGGCTGAGGTGGGTGGGTGGATGGTGCTGGGGGTGGCAGATGAGGCGGTCAGGGTGGACCCAGGGTAGCAAACAGGACTCTTCCTTGGGATCTTCAGGAATTTCAAAGACACAAAGATGGCCAAGAAAGAGACTATGCAGGAGAAACACTTCAGAGGGTTGCCCTCTGTGCTTCGGTAAAGCTGAGAAAAGGTTATAATGTAGACTTTGAGCCTCTGGGTTTTGTAGCGGAAATATTTTCACAGTTTGAGATAATCTACAAGTAACCTTTTCCCTTTAGTTTCCTCGTAAAGACTGATTAATTGCAATGGATACCTCCATCGAGCTATCCAGTGGCCCCATTGTTGGTGCGAGTCCAAGGCGGACCAGACCCTCTATGCTGGCAAATTCCAGTAGCATATCGCTTTGAACCAGTGATCAGCAAACTGCAGCTCACCACCTGTTTTTGTAAATAAAGTTTTATTGGCACAGAGCTGTGCTTATTCATCGCTATATTGTCCGTGGCTGCTTTTGTGCTTTCGTGGCAGAGTGGAATAGTTTCCGCAGAGAACATATGGCCTGCAAGCCTAAAATGTTTATGATATGGTCCTTTACAGAAAAAGTTTGCCAACTCCTGCCCTTCTGCAACTGTGAACTTTTTAAGCGTTAAAGAGATAGGGTACACATCGAATAGTATTTTATACGGGATCCCATATTTAAGAAAGAGGCCAGTTTTTCAGATGTGTAAGTAGTGTTACACAATCTATCATTAACTGCTTCTCACCTCTGAGAGCTGGGACCAGGGTCCGGAGCAGGTCGTCTTTATTGGATTGGCTGAATGAGATGCCAGCATGGGGAAATGTTAGGAGTGTGAAAGGGTGAAGCCACACAGAGAGGAAGTGACCTACAGGAACTTGATTTCCACATCCTCGGGTTCAAAGAAAATGCTTATGCAGCAGCTGGAGTCCCAGATGTGCCAACATCTGGCTCTGGTACAGGTACACAGAGATTTTCTAGCTAACTAGATGTTGGCAACATGCTGCTTTTCTTTCCTTTTTTT